GACACAGTGTCCTCATGGCTGTGGCCCCAGCACAGCTGTCCTGGGGCGGCTGCAGCTTAGGGTGCCCCCCGGGTAAGTCACTGCCCTGCATTGCCCCCAGCGCTGCTCCCCTAAACCTGCAGCTGCCTCCCGTCCCCACATCCTGGGGTCCACTGGAGGCTGGAGCGGGGGCAGCGGGCAGAGCAGCAGGACCTGATCTCAGAGGAGGAATGAGGGGACCCTCCTCTGTGCTAACTTCACAACCTGGTTCCCCGAAAGTTCAGGGAAAGAACATGAGGCCTGAGAACTAGGCAAGAGCAGCAGGAGCCTGAAATCCATCTCTCCACACGCGGGGTCCTGTGTGCAGGGACCTGGGCCTGTGGGACCATGACGGGCAACATGTACCCTGTGTCAGACGGGGACACCCAGAGAATGAGACCAAAATTAACACACACAATAACTGGCATAATATCCACAAAACAAGAAAACAGCAAACACCTGAAGGTGGGTCCTGTGGGCCCAGGCTGATTTGAAGGCCCCCAGCAAAAGCCCTCGCTGTCCAGGGTCCTGGAGATGTGCTTCCTTAGGACAGGTGAAAAGGCCTGGGGGTGTGAGGCCCTGTGACCACAGGTCCTGGTGGGACAAGGCTCTCATGAAGGGACAAGGTCAGAGGAGCAACAAACATGACTCAGCCCAGGAGTGACCACATCAATCCCATGATGCAAAGGGCGCCGAGTGGGCACAGGCCCAACCACACCAGCTTCTCAAAGCCTCTCCTGCCCCACCTGCAACAGACTCTGCAGGCAGATTCTGGAAGTTTCTCAGGTTTCCTCTCTACAACTTTAGGATTCTCCTCCTCCATGTAACACATCAACCCTTCATGGCAAGAATTTGAAAAAAAACACACACACAACTAATTCGTATGCAGATTCTTTTCAACAGGGGGGAATCAAGACATGAAAACTCAGTGCAACAGGAAGTGAAGACCCTGAGGGAGATGGCCTCACCCCAACTCTGCCAGAGCAGGAAAGTCCCTGGAGGGGAGCACAGGTGGGAGGGGCGTGGGGACCAGCGCCTGCATCCTGCTGATGAGGAGACACTGATGCCAGTGGCAGACACAGCGGTCAGGGATCCTGAAGGTCCCCAAGGGGAGGCTTGAGTCCATGTTTTATCACTTGTCTGTATGCTGTGCTGTGTTCACCCCAATCAAGTCTCCTTCCATCAGCATTTATCCCCACTCCATCCTCTTCCACCTCCCCATCTCCCTCCCTCTCTAGCAACCACCACACCATTGCCTGTGTCTATGAGGATTTTGTTTTGTCTTGTGGTTTTTTACTTATCCCTTCACCTTTTCACCAACCCCCACACCCTCCAAGCTGTCAGTCTGTTCTCTATGAGTTTGTTTCTATTTTGTTTACTGGTGTATTCTGTTCATTAGGTTCCACCTATGATTGAAATCATGGGGTATTTGTCCTTCTCTGACTGGGTTAGATCACTTAGCATAGTGCTCCCCGATCCATCCATGCTGGCGGAAAGGGTAAGAGTTCTTTTTTTCTATGACCGAGAGTAGTATTCCACCATGCAAATGCACCACAGCTTTTATATCCATTCATATGCTTTAAAAATAATATTAAGTTAGCACTTATTGAAAAATTCCATTTCACTTTCAAAAAATAAATTACAGAATTATGCAATCGAGGGAGTCTGGCTTAACAATAGTTTGTGTACAAAAGCTTGAGGGAGAAACAGTCATCAGGCATTTTGGAGGCACTTCCTTTGTTGCTGTTGTTAATGCTCACCCAAGGGTATTTTTCCATTGATGGTGAAAGAGAGAAGGGAGGGGGAGACAGAAAGAGAAAATATCAACGTGAGAAAGAAAGATGCATTGGTTGCCTCCTGCACAAGCCCCATCCAGGGCCAGAGATGGAGCCTGAACCGAGGTACTTGCCCCTGACCAGAATTGAACCTTGGACCCTATGCTCCCAGGCGAAAGCTCCACCCACTGTCTAACCGGCTAGGGCTGCAGGCACCTGTTCTAGCCCATCTTTCATCCACAGCACTTTGGGCCCTGGTGCCTCATAAAGTCCAGCCATTATGGTCACCATCTAGGCAGGAAGCAGAAGGAAGAGGAAGAGAGAAAGTGGGAGCCCTGACAGCCTTAGACACTGCTAACCTTCAATATTCCTTAAAAGAAAAAGAGAGAGAGAAAGAGACTTCTTTCAACAGCTGCACTGCTCAAAGGGAAAACGTATTTCCTCAATAATTCCATGTAACTTTATTAACCTCCTTAGATTAGGAATTGACTTTAACATCTCCCAGGGCAGCATACGTTTCACATTGATTGTTGGGGATTTAATATCATAAATGGTATTGATGAAATGATTACGGAATAAGGATCATGATTGATGATGTCTACATATTTCTCATCTCAACTGTGATTTGAAGAACCCAGGAGTTCTAGGACCCCTCAGGAGCAGCAGGGAGGGGCTGACAGGGGAGAACAGGGCCCTAGAAAGAGGCAGGAGCAGGAGGAGCCTGAACACCCATCTCTCCACACCGCAGGGTCCTGTGTGCAGGGAGCCCTGGGCCTGTGGGACAATGACGGGGAACATGTACCCTGTGCTGTCAGATAAGGGACACCCAGACAGTGAGACTATAACTCACACATGAAAACAGTAACCCGACCACACTCAGTCCTCACAGCCCCTCCTGTCCCACCTGGGACAGGCTCAGCACTGCAAACACATGGCTTCTGGAAAGTCCTCAGTGCTTCCATTCATTTCCCCTCAAACTTTAGAATCTTCTCCCTTAATTAACCCATTAACACTTCACGGCAAGCAATGAACACAGTCACATCAGAGTCTATTTTCAATACGGAGCAGGAAGTGGCAGCTCAGAGCCCCAGGGAGTAAAGGCAGGGATGGGGAGGGCAGAGCCCGACTCTGCAACAGGAAAGTGTGGGGAGCAGGGCGGGGCCAGCCCCCCAATAAGAGGTTCTTGAGTCAGGAAGTGGGAGCGTGAACATCTTCCAACACTCAGTCCCCACAAGGCAGCTGCCTCACGCTGTGGGGGAAAAGCATCATGAACACATTCAGGTCAGTGGCTGTAACTGGTGACATTCTCACAGCCCACTTCATGCTCACAGTGTCCCACAGACTCCCCACCACCCAGTCCTCC